CAAAGTCCCTTCCAGCTCTGTTATTCTGTAACATGGACAACATGAAGAATTATTTTATCATGCCTGGCAGATTTTTTAAAAAAATGTCAAAAATTTCTGGGTTCAAGTTATACAAAGGATTTTAAAGATCGACTTTCAACTGAAACTAGTTGGGTAATATAGAAAAAAAAAATAGAAAAAACCCAAGGAAGATTATTTTTGTAAATGAATATTGCTGTAAAACTATTGTATGTGCAAACACAGAAAGACTCTGAAATACCCACAATGATGGAATGATTAGTGAAGATGACCAAAAAAAGAAGTTCTGCAAAGACTGGAGAAAGACAACAGCTAATTTCATTTATAAGTGATTGGTTTTGTTTGCTAGAATGCAGTGTTTGCCTTTTGCCAAATATAATGTGATACATTCAGGCCCAAAAGTTCGCTTTTCGTCCCATCCATCAAGAAACTATTCTTCCAGTAGCTCTTATGGAACACCTGTCTCACTATATAGCACTAATTTATTCCCCTTTCTACAGTATCTCCTTAATTCTGTTGGTGCATTGGAAAACTTTCTCTCTGTGATGATTCTGCCTTCATTCGTCCCTACATCCCACAATGCATCCTGAATATACAAGGGTAGAGGTGGCCTCACTCTTTTGTTTTCTCAATAAGCCATGACAATGATAGATAAGAAATTGAATACTGCATCCAGTTTTGATCACCACAATGTGAAAAAGTTGTTAAGACTCTAGAAAGAGCAACAAAGATGATTAGGGGACTGGAGGCTAAAATGTATAAGGAACGGATGCAGGAACTGGGTATGTCTAGTTTAATGAAAAGAAGGACTAGGGGACAAACAACAATAGTGTTCCAATATTTAAGGGACTGCCACAAAGAAGAGGGGGTCAACTTATTTTCCAAAGCACCTGAAGGCAGGACAAGAAGCAAAGGATGGAAACCAATCAAGGAGAGAAACAATCTAGAGCAGCGGTTCTCAACCTGTGGGTCAGGACCCCATTTGGGGTCGAACGACCATTTCATGGGGGTCGCCAAACAATGCAGTCCGCCATTTTTTCCACCATTTCCCCCCTCTTTTCCTTAGCTCTGCTACTCCCTCTTATTCTATTGCCTTTCAAAAGACAATAGAATAGACTCTCTTGAACAGAGTCTAATTCTATTGGCCTTCAAAAGCCAATAGGAATTGTCCAGGGCTATCTCTGCCCTGCTGAGCCTGCCAAAAGCCCCAGTCTGCAAACGGTGCTACAAGGGAACAGTCTGAAGAGCTTCCCTCCCTGCTGAGCAACTAAAAAGTAAGTAAAAGAGGACCATGGGTGGGAGGTGGGAGGCCAGTGGGCGCAGGGAAGGTTGCTGGCACGCATGGGGCAGGGCAGGTGCCTTACCTGCCTTGGGCTGGGCCAGCTGGTGGCCCAGCCAGTGGTCGGCCTGTGCCGCTGCTGCCATGGCTGCCCGGGAGCGCCTGGGCCTGCCAGCCACCGCCCCAAATGGGTGGAGGCCAAGGTAAGCCTAGCGGGGTAGCAGCGGGAGCAGGAAGGGTTGCTGGCGTGCGTGGCGCCCGGCGGGTGCCTTACAGGTGCCTGAGGCGGCTGCCCGGGAGCGCCTGGGCCTGCCTGTCGCTGCCCCTTGCCGGCTATGCCTCAGCTGGTGCAGGGGACAGCACCACGCATACACAGCGCTCCCAGGCCGGTAGTCCTCGACTTACGACTGGGGTCGCGGCTATTAAAAGGTTGAAAACCACTGATCTAGAGCTAAGGAGAAACTTACTGACAGTGAGAACAATTAATCAGCGGAATGACTTGCCTCCAGAAATTGTGGATGCTCCATCACTGGAGGTTTTTAAGAATAGATTGGATGACCACTTGTCTAAAATAGTACAGGGTCTCCTGCCTGAGCAGGGGATTGGACTAGAAGGCTTCCAAGGTCCCTTCCAACCCTGTTATTCTGTTATTCTGAATTAGATTGACCTAACTTCATATTATTTAGATCAATATTTCTATTCTTAGTTGAAATTATTAAATCTAAATTTTGATCTATTTGAAGACATGTCCAGGAACGCATTCTAGTATTATTCCTGTTTGAAGAAAACCAAAGTTTCAAACTCAGTTCTCTTATTAGATATAAGACCAGAAGAAACGGTTCCAACTAATTGTGGGACATAAGGATCAGCAGAATATTGACTTAGCATTTCCCTTCAGGTTCAGAGTTGTTTACCTTGGTCCAACTGCACCCATGGGCTATGCTAATCTGTTCATATTTAATCAATGTGATCCTCTTGGAGCCCATCTCTGACTGGTGTCCCATTAGGGAGGCCATCAAGGACAACACACACACAAAAAGAATATCTACTTACAATGTGTTATCCCTAATACACAGCAGAGTTAATTGTTTCTCTTATAATTGCTGCATACTTATAATTAGTTTCGTTGATCAGACCTTCAACAATTATCCACAAGATAACAAGACAGAAATCAGTATGTGATGTGCAGTTGAGAAAGAGTTTATAATATACAAGTATCCTTCAACTGGTTTCATGGAAAAGAGGCAAGCCCAGGCTTTGTCCATGTGAAACTATCCAGTTCTCCACTGTTTTGGACAGAAATGGCTTCAGATCATTGAACTGCTTTGTGGAGTTTTTAAAATTTCTTTCTGTGTTGGTTGTGCCATGTAATATTGAGATAGGTTGCTGCTTTCTCTTTAAAACAGGTGACAAAGCAGAAATCAGATGCAGAAGACTCTTTTCTCCAGGAAAACAAATCTGCAGGGATGGTGAAATTCCTGGCACTGTTTCTTTTTCTATCCCTTGAAGAGTGCGAAAGAGTGACCACAAAGTGCCCTCAAACCCAATTCTTCACTGTTCCTCATGACTGGTATCAGCCAGGGACACTTCTCATTGGTGGGATGGCATCTCAAGTCATTTATGTATTTAATGAAGTTTCCTTCAAAAATATCCCTTCACAAGATATCGGCTTTGATCTTCCAGTGTAAGACACTCAACCTTCCCTTCCTAAATCAAGTACTACTCAACTCCTAGAAATAGTCATGTATAGTAAATAAAAATGTAAAACATGTTATTTCTCCCATCCCTGTTACAGGGTATCTTCAGGTGGTCTTATTTCCATCAATGTCATTTTTCTAGACTGCTGACAGTCACCTACTACTTTGATATAAACTTTAGTCTCTTGCTATTATTCCTTCTTTCTTGAAAAATATTAATTCAATGTTATCTTCACTTTGTTGCACAGGCAGTATTGTGTTGAATTGCAGAGAAAGTGAGGAGTTTTGATAAATTGGAGAAAGCAGTGTTCCATGGCTCGGAAGACTATATGAAACCTGGAATTATGGATGAAAAAGACTTTAAAATTGACATAGATTAAAAAAGAATGGAACAGAACAGAATAGAACAGAATTCTTTATTGGCTAAGTATGATTGAATGCACAAGGAATTTGTCTCCTGTGCATAATTTGCCTCTCAGTGTACAAGCAAGCCACAAGTGTTAAGATTGATTAGCAGGAACTTAATTAGTTAAGACTGATAGCAACCAGACTAACTATTTCATGCTTTCCTCTATGAAGAAATTAACAAGTTATTCTATTCTATTCTATTCTATTCTATTCTATTCTATTCTATTCTATTCTATTCTATTCTATTCTGGATAAAGAGAGAAAGGGAGAGAAGGAGAACATTAAAAATTGTGATAAAGACACATTTTTCTTTTAGAAAAATGTTTCCTATAGCTTAATAATAGTAGGGCATGGTTTAGTTTTTGGAAAGTCATTGACTACAGGATTGGAAATCTTTTCCCTGAGAATTGCTCATTTGGTTTGTGTGTTCAGGAAAGACTTTTCATATCACATGTATTGTGGTTGGAGGTATTTCACTGATTTTTAAATATTGATTCCTATTCAGTTGAATTTCATAATGCATATATTGAAAGCACTCTCACTTTATCTGCTCCCCTCTTTTCCATCCATTAAGATGGAAACTAATCAAGGAGAAAACCTGCCTAGAACTAAGGAGAAATTTCCTCACACTTAGAACCATTAATCAGTAGAATGAGTTGCCTCCAGAAGTTGTGGGTGCTCCAATAGTGGAGGTTTTTAAGAAGACACTGGACAGCCATTTGTCTGGGATGGTATAGGGTTTTCTGTCTGAGCAGGGGGCTGGACTAAAGGACCTCCAAAGTCCCTTACAACTCTGTTATTCTGTTAGTCTTAACCTTAATTCATCTTCATAATTCTGATCACATTGCATCAGCCCAAGAGTTGTGCTGGTCAAGATGATTAATTTCATATGTAAAAAGCCTTGCAACTCTATTTGCAGGATGCTGACCAAGTTCTACCAGAATTCTTTGGCTTTGGCATTTGCTGTAAATACAATCAATAAGTCACCAACAATTTTGCCAAATATCACAGTGGGATTCCACATCTATGACACCTACTATGATCAGAGGATGACCTATTACAATCTTCTCAATTTGCTCTTTAAATTGCACCATTTTCTTCCTAATTATGCATGTGGACTCCCTAAAAACTTAATTGCTGTTCTGGGAGGTCTTGCATCTGACACCTCTTTTCACATGGCAGACATTTTGGGACTCTACAAGATTCCACAGGTGAGGATGATGCATATCTGCAGGGACCAGCTTTTGCTACTTTTATTAATGTTATATTCATCACACGGGTGGTTTTTAAATATAAAAGAGAAGCTAGAAAATAAAAGAAATTAAGCTTAGACAATTTGAGAAGTAAGGACTCCTGGGAGGATTAGAGAGGTTCAGAACCCTTCTTTCTAATTCAAGTTGTTCATATTTCTCCATCTCTGTTAAATAGGTAAAGGCAAAATTTTTAATTTTAGCAAAGGGAAATTGAAAGGTAGGAATTTCATTTCTGCAGGTATGATTGATTTATGAAAATGCACCATGCACTTTACCTTTAAGCTCACATATGGATCATTTGCTCCCGAGGACACTGTAAAACCCAAGGATCCTATTTTTTATCGCATGGTCCCAAATGATGAAAACCAGTACATGGGAATTATCCGTTTGCTTCTACACTTTGGCTGGACATGGGTGGGTCTTTTTACAGGAGATGATGATAGTGGAAAATATTTCTTGCAAAGCATGGAAGCATTGTTTTCCCAGTATCGAATCTGTTTAGCCTTCGTTCAGGTGTTTCCACGCCAAGGCCGTGTCTTGTCCAGTGATGATATGGGTACATTTGGAAATCTCCATGTATCTGTTATGGATCAGAGGGCCAGAGCATTTATCATCTATGGAGATACCATGAATCTTATGTGGTTAATTAACTATAATATTCTTCTAGTTTCTGATCATGCATATTTTGGGAAGGTGTGGATCATGACAGCTCAGATGGTATTTGCAGTAACAGGAGTGACCAGACGGATGGATTTTCAAATGTTCCAGGGTGCCATATCCTTGGCAATTCATTCCAAACAACCTCAGGAATTCCAGATGTATTTTCAGAAGAAAAATCCATACAAGCCTGAAGGTGATGGTTTTGTCCAGTTGTTCTGGGAACAGGTTTTTGAATGTTCATTTCCAAATTCTGGGGAATCATTGGAGCAGGATGAACTATGTACTGGGAAGGAGAACCTGGCTAAGCCTCCTCAGTCTGTTTTTGAAGTGAGAATGAATGGCCACAGCTACAGTATTTACAATGCTGTCTATGCGGTAGCCCATGCTCTTCACGCAATGCATTCATCAAAGACTAAATACAGAGTAAGAATGGGGGAGCAAAGATCTGAGTTTGAAGACATGCAACCTTGGCAGGTAATATTCCCATAACAGAATGATATAACCAAATAACAGAGTTGGAAGGGATATTGGAGGTCTTCTAGTCCAATCCCCTGCTCAGGCAGGAAACCCTATATCATCCCAGACAAATGGTTGCCTAATCTCTGATAATTTCAATGATCCTGCTGCCAGAAAATAACTAGCATATCAATGTATCCAATCATCAATGAAATATACATTGATGATTAGAATTAATAATTGCATCCTGGGGACTTATGTCCATTATTTGCTTTTATAACAAACCAAATGCTTGCCTTATTAGAGAAAAAATATTTTGATCACTAATTAATAAAGGCAGTCTTCATTATCGACCACAATTGGGACTGCAACTTGGATGTTAAGGAAAACAATCAATATGATCTTACTTCAACTTTCCTTTGCTTTACAGACTTCTGAAGGTTGTAAATTTGAGAACTGGTGGCAAAGTAATATTTTAGCATTATTGTAACTGTAAATATTTAGTAAATGAGGCAGTTATTAATGAAGACTGTAATCTGTAATCACTATCAGCTATCATAGATAAATATTTGTTGTCCAGCAGCTATATTTTAATGAATGGTTAAAATAGAATGTAATAGAATTGAAAATAGTGAAACAATATTTTAAAACCTTATAGAACTAGGAATAGAAAAGCAGTATAGGGAAACAGACTGAATATATGAATTAATAATACAAGATAATATTAAGCCACCCAGAGTCACATGATGGTGAGATGGGAGGCAAATAATTTTAAGAATCAATGAATAATCCAGAATTTTGGTCTAACCAGTGGAAATTTCCAATTTGTACATTTATCTGCCGAATGAGAAAAAAACAAAGTTCTGGGGGGGGGGGGAATCTCTGACTTTTTTATGCAATGTCTTCTCACAGTATTTTTTTTTTTGTTCTGTTTATTAATCTTGCAAGAAAAATAAACCAAAATTTGATGGAAATTTACTACCATTTTCCTGTCTTCCTTTCCCCCTCCTTTCCTGGTTGCCAACAATTTCACTTCACAGAGTCTTAAGCGCACAAATGGTGTTAAAAATGACCATCTCTTTCAGTTTTATTATAGAAAATTAAAAATAGATCGGACTCCAAAAGGATGTAGAACAATTTGTTTGCTCTACAATACCCAAATTTTGAGATAGATGGGTAGATGGATAGATGGATGGATGGATGGATGGATAGATAGATAGATAGATAGATAGATAGATAGATAGATAGATAGATAGATTCCTCCTAACACCAATTAAAGTCCTGTGGCATTTATGGAGGAGAGAGAGAGAGAGAGAAAGAGAGAGAGAGAGAGGGAGGGAGGGAGGGAGGGAGAGAGAGAGAGAGAGAAAGAGAGAATCCATTCTTAAGGCCATAGCAGCCCATGTCAGCAGAAAACAATTATATATTAAGAACATTTCTCTAAAATATCTTATTAACAGAATGGCTTTCACTTTTATAAGCCATCTGTCACTCTGTTACTGGAAATCAGGAATTGGGAGGAGACTTATATCTTAACTCGCAAGAGAGGATTGTCTATTTGTGAATAGAAGGGAATAACTCTTAAGATCTAAGTGAAGTATTGCATCCATTTCAATTTCTGAGACAGGGTTGGGGCTACAGCTTAAATTTCTTGCCTGCTGGACTTAGCTATTTTCGTACATTGGTCCTTCCTTCCTTCCTTCCTTCCTTCCTTCCTTCCTTCCTTCCTTCCTTCCTTCCTTCCTTCCTTCCTTCCTTCCTTCCTCCCTCCCCCCTCCCTCCCTCCCTCCCTCCCTCCCTCCCTCTCTTCTAAATTTATCCTTTTTTGAACTTATAATTCTATAGACAGCAATGGTAACTGGAATTCATGTGTATGGTGCTTGCATTTGATAAATCACTGATATAACAATCACAGATAAAAGCAACAATATGTATCAGGGTCAAAGACTGTCCATAAATTGCATCAAATTAAATTGCCCACAAAATTAATTAAAGTATCTACTTCATCTGTACCCAAAGATGTTTTTGAGTTTGTCCCATTGTTCGATAATAATGAAATTCTGACAGCGTAGCTTGATGGTACATAGCAGAATTTGGCAATTAGAAAGAGATCTTTGAGATCATCCTATCATACATAAAATAATCTCCTAGAATAAATTGTGTTGAATTTAATTGCTTCCAACATGTCATGAAATGACATTGTACACTTAATTTTATTATCCCTCTACTATTTTTTCCCTCCTTCCAGTTACATGCATTTCTTCAAGGGATATCATTTAACAATTCAGCAGGAGAGAACATTAATTTTAATGGAAAAAGAGAAATTGTTGCTGGATTTGATATAATGCACATGATTTTATTTGCAAATAACTCCTTCCGTAAAGTCAAAATTGGATGGTTGGAACCAATGGCTTTTGAAAGAGAACAATTCTTCATAGATGATGAAATTATTGAATGGCCAAGCTCCTTTAATCAGGTATGCATTCTTAGATTTCCTTGACAGATTTAACTTCAATAAGACAAACCATTGGTGGTTACACATTTCCACTACTGTAAACTTTGTCCATGCCAAAAGATATAGCAGTGGGGTCTAGGACAATTCACCATGGTTGACTAGCCCCAGCTGTCTCACTCTGGTTGTCAATGTCCAGCTTGAGTATCCAAAATAAAGTCCCGGATTTTTTTCATTTCTGAAGTTCTTGCTGTTTTATTGAATACATGACATAGCATAGGTGAAGGAAAACTAACTCTAAAATCCCAAGATATCTACCCAAAGCATATAACAATGACATTCCCAGCCAAATCTCCCAGCTGTCCATGTGGTGCATGTAAACCCCTTTCTGTTGTTTTGAGAACCTTCTGTTATCTTCATCCGCAAGGTTAGAATGTCCTCAAAAAGTTTCCACACGTCTGTGTTTCAGCAAATGTCTGCAGAACTGGAGAGGTTTCATTTCTCTAACTAGCCCATTCAAAGCCTCGTCTCTCCCTCTCTCCCTTACTCTAATGACAAGATGAAAACAATAAGGCACATTATGGCTGCCAAATTTTTACTGTTGACATTGGTTAATTGGCAACAGACAAATCTCCAAAGGACAGCTCACTGTGGGACAATTCAATGTAGGATAATTCAAGAGAGGGACAAGTGAATTGCAGCTGGTCTTGTCTTGCTTTAGGTTTGAACCTTCTCAAGTTAGAAGTCTTCAAGGCTGGGGTGAGCTGCAATTCTATTTGTCCCTCTCTTCATTTATCCTGTGCTGAATTGTCCTCCAGCAAATTGTCCCATGGTGAGATGACCAGGATGAGTTGGCCAGGGTGAGTTGGCCAAGACGAGTTGTCCATTCTGATTGCAGTGCTAGTATAAATTCAGTATTGTTATTGCTTTATTAAATATTACTATTATTTCTAGTAACAATATTTTGAAAGCAATATATATTTAAATAGAAACATAATACAATTTGAGTCCACTTTAAAAAACATGCTTACATTATAGTATATACTACACATATGCTCATCTATGCTGACCAATTACCTATTTCCTGATTTTCAGTTGTGTATGCCCCCCACAATAACTAAATGCTATCAACTTCCTTACAACTCTTTTGATTTTTATGGACAGGTATGTCCTATTTCTGTGTGTAGTGACTCATGCCCACCGGGGTTTCAGAAACGAAAGAAGGAAGGGCAGAAATTTTGTTGCTATGACTGTTCACCTTGTCCAGAAGGAAAGATCTCAAACAAGACAGGTAAGTGACGTAGAATTGATTGATTGACTCCCCCTCACAAACTCCTTTTGTTTCCCTGCATTATATTAGGCCCAACCCCCCAAAAAATCAGCTGGGAGTTACTTTCTGGGGAGGGCGTACTTTTGGAAAAAAAACAGTAAAATAGTTGTGAAAGTCATCCAGATATTCTATCTACTTCTACTTAAGTATGATAAAATCTAGTAAATTATATTGTTGTCGTCGTTGTTGTTGTTGTTGTTTTTGGGTTTTTTTTTTTTTTTTTTTTTGTAGCATTTGTTGAGATTCTGATATCACTCTGAGAGTCAGTCTGGTATTCCATCACAGGTGGTGGCTTGTCTTTGAAAATAAAGACATGGAACTTTGATGGCTCCTCCATGGCATTCAACTGAGCTGTCTTGATTTGGCTTCCAATTCAATAACAGACACAGCCTAAGAGGCTCAACATACTCTTCCATTTTCTGACAGTCAGTATGATATTTTATTACAATGGTTCCTATATAACTGTCTGATTTGGAACAGTAACCAAAAACAATGAATAGTTAGGACTGTAGAAAAAGCAATCACAACCAGCCTGCCTTCATTGAGAATCTGTATACTGCATGAACCAAAAAAGAGGGCTGAGAAAATACTTATAGAACCCTCATATCCTAAACATAATCTATTTCAACTTCTCCCCTCAGGATGCTGCTTTAAACAATTAGACATAAATTTGGTTTTTTCCCCATGCTGTCACCATCGGATTGGATTCTTATGCTTTATCAGTTGTTGTTTGTAACTTACGATTAATGATTGTAACTATGATGTATCATCTATGATGTATTACTTGCTGCTAATATATACACTGTGAGTTTATGCACTGGAGACAAATTCCTTATATGTCAAATCACAGTTGGCGAATAAATCTATTCTATTCTATTCTATTCTATTCTATTCTATTCTACTCTACTCTACTCTACTCTACTCTACTCTACTCTACTCTACTCTACTCTACTCTACTCTACTCTATTCTATTCTATTCTATTCTATTCTATTCTATTCTATTCTATATTATTCTATTCTATTCTATTCTGTTCTGTTCTGTTCTGTTCTGTTCTTATTATGAAGTAAGCTGTTTTCATTTGGGTTCTGATCCAGTTAAAGTCTAATAGATACACTTATTTTTCTTGACAATTTTTCTCCCTTTTCTTTTCAGACACGGATGAATGTATGCAGTGCCAAGATGATCAGTATCGAAGCCAGAGCAATGACAGCTGTTTCCCCAAAATAATAACCTTTCTTTCGTATGAAGAACCATTAGGAATGGGTTTAGTCTCAATTGTCCTTTGTTTTTCACTGGTCACGGTCTTGGTGTTTATTACTTTTATTAAACACAGTGATACCGCCATAGTCAAAGCCAATAACCGAGAACTCACCTATATTCTTCTTTCCTCTCTCCTGCTCTGCTTCCTCTGCTCTCTTTTATTCCTTGGCCATCCCCACAAAGTCACTTGCCTCATTCGTCATGTTGCTTTTGGTATCATCTTTACTGTAGCAGTTTCTTGTGTGTTGGCCAAAACCAGCACTGTGGTTCTTGCTTTCATGGCCACTAAACCAGGATCCAATGTGAGGAGGTGGGTGGGAAAAAGTCTGGCCAACACCATTATCCTTTTCTGCTCTCTCATTCAAGCTAACATTTGCACTGTATGGCTTGCCATTGCTCCTCCATACCCCAGGTTGGACATGAAATCCCTGCCAAGCGAGATGATAGCAGAATGCAATGAAGGCTCTACCTTTATGTTTTACTTTGTCTTAGGCTACATGGGACTTCTGTCCATCATCAGCTTCATAGTGGCTTTCTTAGCTAGAAATCTGCCAGATGCTTTCAATGAAGCCAAATTCATCACTTTTAGCATGCTCATGTTTTGCAGTGTTTGGCTAACTTTTATCCCAACTTATTTGAGCACTAAAGGCAAATATATGGTAGCTGTGGAGATCTTTTCCATTTTGGCCTCTGGGGCTGCCTTATTATTCTGTATCTTTTCTCCAAAAGTTTATATTATCCTGCTGAGACCTGAGCTGAATAATAAGGAGGGATTGATAAGGACAAATAATAAACCAATGTAATTGCATCCTATTGCCTTATGTTATGATTGACATCAAATAACTCACTTTCATAACCAGTATATCTGCTAATCGTTTATTATTTGAGATCACCCAACAAATATATAAAAAAATAAATATAATAAAGTACTTTTCTTTAATTATATAATTGCAAGTTTCAACAAAGAACCACTTTCTAATGCAAAATTCTTTGTAAAATTATTCATTAGTAAATCCTACTGAACCTATAGAGTGACGACTGGGATGACACGTAAAGAATTAACTGTTGGATAGGAACTCTGAATTGCATTTTTTTTACCACTTGAGCTAACTGGTGGAAATTTTATTTGAACCCTTATTTGTTTCTATTGGTGAAAAGCAAATTTGAACAGAAATTATATTCATGTGTAAGTCAATTCCTTTGTTAAAAAGATTGATGAGTTTCATGCTGTCCTGCTACTTACTGTAATTAAGATGGTTATCTTTTTGACCTTTACGAGGATGTCATAATGTAATCTCTGATGGAATATTTTTAGGAAATATTTTTTCATTGTTAGCATTGCTGCTAAATCACTCATAACTGTAGTTCAAAAAATATCAAAAATAACTTTCAAAACTTTAACATGAATCTAATATTTTTGAAAATGAATTTATATTTCTGCCCTAGTGAGATGACCAATTGAGATTTGGTTTCTTAAGATCTGGAATAATATCTTACATGAGATTTTACTGGTCTCATGTGCTGCTTTTATTTGGCAACATTTAAATTGCTTTAGATTATATTTTTCATTATAACCTGAGTTGATTTACATATTGTTGATAGCTTTCTCATATTTCATTTCTAAAGAAGAGATGATACAAAAAAGTTATAATAAACAAGGAAATAAATAAATAATAAATAAATAACAGCATTTGTATATATTTCAGTTTATGTGTGTGTGTCAGTGTGTTAATGATTCTTCTGAGAAAAAATGTTTACATATATAGGAAACTTTATTGATTGATTGATATCAAATCCATACTGTACATGAAACCAGATCCAAAGACTTATTGTGTTTATTAGTTTTAGAATGAGAAAGAAATGTGCTTGAATCAGTAGTTGCTGAGTAAGGGTGCACTGCCTTTTGGTCTGTGAATAAAAAGATAAGTGGTTGCTTTGTGTTTTCAAAGATTTTAAATTTGGACAATCTAAACCTGAAATTTAATTTGTAGAATAACATTTCAAATAAGCAGATGAAAGATAGCTAAAATCCTAAAAATGAAATATGTTGATAATAAAAACCATGATAATGTCAAGATGAAGACAAGTCTGTTATGGTGGGTTGCTATGGTGTCATAATATCAGATGCACATTCCTAAGTCATGCCAATTGAGTGATAACATTATTACACATATATGATTTACCTTCCTTACACAACTTTAGATACATATATTATTTCAATTCTTATTTCCCAACTCTCTGCCTGAAAACAAACAGAAAGAAAAAGAAGAGATAAGAATGGGAAAAAAATAATTAGCTGTCAAGTATACGCCCTGAGGCCAAATTATGATCCTTGAAATTTTCAACCATTAATTTGCTTTGGCACAATGCCAACAACTTTCTGGAAAATAATACAGAAACCACAAACCATTTCTTCTTCAGCTTAAGATGTGATTAACAAATTCCCCCAGGTTTTATCTGTCATAGCCATAATCATGAGCAGAACAGAGACACAGTTCTGTAACACATAACTACGGTTCCTTCAAATTATTCTGCAGCATTCATTCAGGGACTAATGCATTCTCAAGGATGTTGATATTCAGGTTAAGGTTGAGACCCTTTTCCAAGCCAGGTCTTCACCCTTTCAGTGCAACTTAGGTGAAAGTGGCCAATGCAAGGGATGAGGCAGCAATGGCTACGTCCAGAGAAAAGGTCTTCTCATGGGCTCTGATGTTAGTAATATTGCTCCTGCTGTTGCCCCAAATATCATGCACAAAGTCCAGCAAGAACTGTCCTTTGCTTGAGGTGCAACCGGTTCCTCATGAATGGCATAAACCTGGGGATCTCAATATTGGTGGCATGGCTTCTCAAATAATTTGCTTTTTCCCTGCAGTTAACTTTGAGCGATATCCTTATGTGGACCTAGATATTGAACTTGCAGTGTAAGGTTATCTCTCTCCCTCTCACTCTCTCTCTCTCTCTCTCTCTCTCTCTCTCTCTCTCTCTCTCTCTCTCTCTCTCTCTCTGTATGTATTTTTCTTGGAATTTGAGCTTGGAATTTCAGTAATATGCTGGAATGACTAGGATGTGATTTGTGGATTTTTCCTTTTATAAGGCAAAATGGAAAACCACAGAAGATGAGATGGTCAGTCTTGGTTAGGGCTTAGATAGGGGGTGCCAGGGAATACAAAGGATAAAAGGTTAAAAAGAAAATATCTAAAGATCTGCTTCGGTATTATGCCAAGAAAACTTCATGGATGACTCCACACAGATAATCTGAACTTGACTGAAAGGCCACTGTATAATACCCCACAATTTTAATAAGAACAGCTGTATTCTCAATTTATATTATGTAATACTTCCGTCATCATTATTATCACTGGTTTCAAATTTTCACCACATCCTCTTTGTTCTTATTCATATTCCCATTTTATTGCTTCTTTGTTTCTTCTTTCATTCTTCTTTTTAATACAACCCATCTGAAATGATCTACATTAAAAGCACTTCACCACCATCCTTGATGGGGAAAATAATTAAAAGCATCATGAACTAGGGAAAATCAGCTATATGTAATTATTTAGATTTTAATATAAGTTACATTGCATTCAATTTTGGTTCTACTTATTCTGCCACTGCATACCTGATTCGTGCTCTGAGTTGCCTGAATCATGAACTGGGTGGCTGATAAATTTGATCAATAAATATATACATAAATGAATGGAGGTCATCCTTCCCATCCAACTCAAGGCCCAAATATAGCTTTTGGCATTGAACAAGTAATACATAAGCATGTTCAGTTCTCAGGTTTTGAAAATGTGTTCACCATATTTCATTAATGGTTATAAAAAGTTGCTTAGAAAGTTTTCTAAATCATAAATCTTCATGATTATTCAAAAGGAAAATAGCCTCCTTGCGTAGCTGGCCTCCATGAATTTATTTTGAGATGCTACCATATTCAGTAGTCGTCACCAGATCATGTAATAAATTAATCTTACTATTCAGGTACATGTTATGTTATGTAAAAGAATGCCTTCTCTGACTCTGTTCTATATTGCCTTCCAATTATATCTTTGATTCCAATGATACCCACTCTCATTGGATGATCCCTTTTTCTAATGCTTTGAAAATGAGTCAACAAGATCTCTCTGCCTATTTTCTCCAACTATTATACATTTTAATTCTTCTTCAACCCAGTATTTTTTTTGTAAACAAATAGTCTAGAAATTCTACTTCTTTCAGCCCTGCATTATTTGGCCATATACTTGTCTTTGCAGGATGGTGACAAAGTTCTATCAGCATGTTCTGACTTTGGCATTTGCTGTGAATGAGATCAATGAAAATGCAAACATCTTGCCAAATCTAACACTAGGATTTCACATATATGATAGCTATTATGATGCACGTATGACCTACTGGACCACCCTTGACCTGCTTTTCAAATCACAGAGATTCCTCCCAAATTACAAATGTGATCCAGAAAGACATCTTATAGCTGTCATTGGCAGAATGAGTTTGGACATCTCAACCCATATGGCAGACTTCTTAAATCTCTACAAGATTCCACAGGTAAAAACTAATGTTGACTAATATTTTTAATGTGCCATAATTGCATTCCTTTTCCTGTTATATTGGGTTAGGTTTAGGGTTATATTGATTTTAAGAAAGAGCAGGAAGAACTGATGAAGAGAGTGACTAATTCATGGATTGATTATCCAAATGTAGTTTCTGAAGTAAAGTAAATGGATGTTCCTTGTTTTTTTTTTCATGTATCATTTTTTTTAAAAAAATCTTACATTTCTTTTTAGCTTAGTTATGGTTCATTTGCCTCAGAAGACAAAACTTATCCTCTTTCCTTTTATTGCATGGTCCCAAACGAAAGTCTCCTGTATAAGGGTATGGTCCAATTGCTTCTACATTTCAGATGGACATGGGTTGGGCTCCTTGCTGTGGATGATGACACAGGCGAACAATTCTTGGACATCTTGGAAAAGATGTTGCATGAAAATGGAATCTGTTCTGCTTTCAGAAGAATGCTCCCTAAACAAGGTCTCTTTCTTCCACTTGATGAACTTGGAGATATGGCATCAATTATCTATCAAACATTCATGGATAGGCAAGCTAGAGCATGCATCATTTATGGTGAAAGTATGACTCTTCTGTGGCTGAGTACTTTAGTGCCTCTAGCAGATCTTCAATATGGAGCAAACATATCTCTTGGAAAGGTATGGATTACAACTTTCCAGATTGATTTTATAGTCACATCCTTCATTACTCGTAATTTTTTTAGAATTTTCCAAGGGACTATTTCCTTCTCTATTCATTAAAATAAGCCTCTAGGGTTTCAAGCCTATCTTCAGAACATAAAGCCTTTTAAGAAAGATGGAGGTGGCTTTCTGAAGAAATTCTGGGAGCAAGCCTTCGAGTGTTCACTTCCAAATTTGCAAGAAGCAGATGATGTTAATGGGATATGCAATGGCAACGAGAACTTAGGAGATCTTCCTAGCCCTGTTTTTGAGACGAGCATGACTGGTCACAGTTACAGTGTGTACAATGCAGTCTATTCCATAGCACATGCTCTACATGCTATGTTATCATCTAGATCTCCATACAGAGAAATAGTGGGAAGCCAAAGTTTTCATGATCTCCAACCTTGGCAGGTAATATTTCAGCAACAGTCCTTTATAAAGCTATAACTTGCTCCCACAGAACTGAAACAGTTCTTTTTGTCCAGGTGATGCATAGTGATTTTACTCATTGAGGTATCACATCACTCCAAGGTCTAGGAGAATTCAAAAGAGGGTTTGGTATATATGCAAAGGAACTACTTGTGATTTTCCGGTAATATAGCATAAGAGTTGAAAGATTTCTGCTTCGTATGATTGCCTAATGAAATCTTGAAGTAAGGTACAGTGTAATAAAGTCACAAACAAATTAAATGGATGTGAAAGAATGCACTGAGCTGTGTATCAATTCATGGAAATATCCAAGAGTAATTTGGAAGAAGGATAGAAGCTGTCCTTGCAAGTCTCATGAAAACGTCAGACTGGAGATGGCCAATTATTTGCAGAAAATAGCAGTGAAAGTTATGGCTATTTTGAATTACACATTTTCAAAGCCCCCTTTTCCAGTTCTGCATCACTATACAACACCTGTATCTACTGAGAATTCTTGCCCAAAATTCTCTATATTTGAAGTACCTCGGGAGATATCTCTTGAATCCATCAACTTCTCTTTTCCTCTTTCATCTAGCTCCACCCAGTTCTTTCAAGCACTGGGTTTAACAACTCAGTTGGAGAAACAGTGTCTTTTAATGAAAAGAGAGAGCTGGTTGCTGAATTTGATATTATCAATTTGATTATATTCCCCAACAACTCCTTTATTAGAATGAAAATTGGAGAACTGAATCCTCAAGATTTTGAAGAACAAATATTCACCATCCACGAAAATAACATTTTCTGGCCAGAGTTTTATAATCAGGTATGAGTTCTGATCTTAGAGATGGTCTTCATTTGTAATGTAAGGTATGGAAGACCTTGAGGAACAGGGGGAAGAGACAATCAGACATGACATGTAGGAGTCTACAGTGGCTCAATTGTTGGAGAAGGAAATTTAGGATGGATCTGTCCAAATATCTATGGAGAGTCTCAATCATTCATATCATGGTTGTCTCAAAGGTTCTTTTTCAAAAGGCAACTAGACTATGTTTTTCCTTGAGGAAGAAGCAAAACTTCATCCATTCTGATAGTTCTGATAATTCTTCATCAGTTAGAACTGATGAAACTTCTTGGATGAGAAGCAAAAGGTCTTCTTCCTCAAGGAAAAACATAGTCCAGTTTCCTTTTGAAAAAGCACCTTTGAGACAACCTACCCTAATGGATCAAGTATAGGAAGAAAATGGGACCATTTGGATTCTGAATTGTCATTTCCAAAATTTTAAAATATCAATCATCTTTTTTTTTCTGGTTAGACGATTCCTCTTTCTGTGTGCACAAATTCCTGCAAACCAGGTTATCATAAAAAAAAGAAGGATAGGAAGAAATTTTGCTGCTATGACTGTGTCCAGTGCCCTGAAAGAATGATTTCAAGATGGGAAGGTGGGTTGATTTTTACTACAAATGGTTTGTAGGAGGAATGTACATGGTCCAAAAATAGAAGTTATACAATAATTTGGCAAATGAAAGAAATAAAAATGCATTAGTTTTCCTTGAATGAACTTCTTTGTTTCCTCTTAATTAATTTTGGTTACTATAGAAGTTCATATTACTAACTCTTCAATAGCAACATTCTCCTAATATAGTCTTTCTCAATATGATGTTCTTCAGAATGTGTAAATTTGATAGATACGTGAAAGTAATTTGCCGGAATTTTTAAGACCAAGGAAAATCAAAAGTAGCATACTTAAATAATAATACAAGAATCTTTTAGAAGGCCATATTTATAATGGACGAGAAAGAAAGAGGAAAAGACAGCAGAAAATATAAAGACTGTAAATTAATCAAGTGGTTGTTCAAGCAGGAAACCCTATAAGATTTCAGATAAGTGGCTATACAGTCTCTTCTTAAAAGCCTCCAGTGATGGATCACCTACAACTTCTGAAGGCAAGTCATTCTATGGTTAATTGTTCTCACTGTCAGAAATGGATAGAGGCTTCCACAGAAAACATATTCATACAATCATATATTAATCCAAGTCTGTTTATCTCTTTTTAGACACGGTCAATTGTTTCCATTGTCCAGAAGATCACTATGCAAGCAGAACTAGAGACAGATGCTTTCCTAAAGTAATAACCTTCCTTTCCTACACAGAACCTTTGGGGATTATTCTCTCCTCAGCAGCCTTTTGCTTTTCTTTTACTACAGTCTTGGTACTTGGAATATTTATTACATACCAAAATACTCCCATTGTCAAAGCCAACAACCGAGATCTCACCTACATTCTCCTCCTTTCCCTCCTCCTCTGCTTCCTTTCTTCTTTGCTATTTCTTGGAAAACCTAACAAGTGGTGACCTGTTTTCTCCAGCAATCTGATTTTGGCATCGTCCTCTCAGTAGCTATTTCTTGTGTGTTAACCAAAACTATCATGGTAGTTGTAGCTTTTATGGCAGTGGTTCTCAACTTGTGGGTCGGTCGGGACCCCATTTGGGGTCAAACGACCATTTCATGGGGGTCGCCAAACAAGGCTGTCCGCCATTTTTCCCCCTTTTCTTTGGCCACGCCCCTGGCACCCAGTGATGTATAAGTGGTTGGGGGTCACCACAACATGAGGAACTGTATTATGGGGTCGCGGCATTAGAAAGGTTGAGAACCACTGTTTTATGGCTTCCAAACCAGGGTCTAACATGAGAAGGTGGCTTGGAAGAAAAGTTTCTATCTTCACTATTCTTGTAAGCTCCCTTATCCAAGCAGGCATTTGTGTAGTGTGGATGACAACTTCTACACCTTATCCAGATTTGGATATGCAGTCACTAGCCAAAGAGATCATAGCAAAGTGCAATGAAGGGTCTATCATCATGTTTTATTTTGTCCTGGGCTATATGGGATTTCTATCCATCATCAGCTTCACTGTAGCTTTCCTCGCCAGAAAGTTGCCAGACACTTTCAATGAAGCAAAGTTCATTACATTTAGCATGTTGGTGTTTTGCAGTGTTTGGCTGAGCTTTGTGCCAACGTATCTGAGCAGTAACGGAAAATACATGGTAGCTGTGGAGATCTTCTCTATCCTAGTCTCCACTGCTGGGTTACTTGGTTGCATCTTTTTCCCCAAATGCTATATAATCATATTGCATCCTGAACTGAACACTAAGGTACAACTGATAAAGAGGAAGAAGACCTGAGATTCCAGGTTACATTTTTTTCCTATGGGGAAGCCATTCAGCAGGAAGACTTAGATAGTCCAGTTTCATTGCTGGATTAGATATGTGCCTTCAACTGCAGTTATGTACTTGAAATTAGTATTCTTTATAAAGTACAAGGAATGAACTAAACTGTGGATGAGCATGGTCTTCTCTGCAGGAAAGCAATGAACTATATTTTAATTCACATACAGTAATGGTCCTTGCTTGGTTTTGATGGAGATCAACAGCATTTTAATGTAACTTTGGTTGAAGTGAAGTATGTTAAAGATGCATGAGATATTAAAACTATGGGTTTTAAGGAGAGTTCCCATGCAAAAATAAACATTTACAGCCTGGCTTATAAGGAGAAACACAAAGGGGGACATTAGAAACTGAATAGTTGTTTTCTCTTCTTTTTTCCCTTCCTCTTTGTCCCTTTTTTCTTCTTTATTTTCCAGTATTTTAATTGCAGTTAAATTTGCTTTATCTTCAATTCTCCTTTTTTTCAATATGTACAAAGAACATTAAGTGACAATACAGACTTCAAAGCTGAATGCTTAAGACAAAAATCTTTATTTGCAACAAATACTATAATGAAGTCTATAGAATTTTTTTTCAAAGTTACATTCACTTCTGGGTGGAAAAAATATATACCATATTTTCCAGCATATAAGGCAATCCAGCGTATAAGACGACCTCCAACTTCAGCACCGAGTTGCATGCCTAGAAAGTCATCTTATATGCAGGAAACTACCATTATTTCCGGCATATAAGATGACTCAGCGTATAAGATGACCTCCAAGTTCGGCGCCGATTTCAATGCTTTCGAAAGTCGTCTTATACGCCGGAAAGTACAGTAATTTACATTTATTAACACTAACATTATAAATATAATTTATATAGTTATAATAGTTTTTGTCTTTTTAAATCCTCAATGTCCTAAGTTATCCAGGCACTGGTGTGCTAATCATTTTAAACATCATTGTATAAATAGTATTGTGTCAAAACAATACAATGTAGTATGCAAGTTTCACAACAATATAAATAAATATAGGGCAATATTGGAAGAAGGATTGTTTGCCTACCATAGAAGAATGGACGCTTAAAGTGTCAAACTTAGCAGAAATGGCTAAGATTTCTGCTTATTTGAAGGATTATTCACAAGAAAGATACATTTCAGTTTGGAGAAAATGGATAGATTACATTCAGAATAAATATAGGACTAAAAAGTTTCATTTATTTTAAGAATAAATTTTAGAGTATTATTATTGTTATTATTATTAATAGCTTAGTATAGTGGAAATTTTATGATATTGTGTTGTTTAGATATTAGGATTTTAATTTGTTTATATGATTAAGTTTATTCTTAAATTGTGTTAAAAGAGAGTTAAAGCACATTATATTTGTTTATCTATATAGTTGGTTAATGTTAGTTAGATTATGATTATTATATTTATTACCCTGTATTCAGCTCTGGGAAGTGGGGGGGGGTGTCAGGGGGGTGGGTTTGGGATATATTTTGTATTTTTTTGTAAAACTTTTCAATAAAAAAACAATATAAATAAAAAGAAATTGCTTACAAAAAGAACTGCAGATTTTGATACATAGTGATTCAAAGTAATAATATTTAATCTTTAAAGAATAAAAATGCTGATATATGGATGTTCCCTTGTAACTACGTTGAGTAACTCCAATGTAGATGAAGTATATCAGACTTGCAACAATAGTCTGCCCCCACCTATTTGGTGTTTGAATGTTGGTGTTGTTATTGTTTTTGACATAGAGATGAGATTAATCAATAGAGTTAGCATATTTAGATTTCTTTTGCCTGGAAGATAATTTTTGACACGATTTCTTTCTCTTTTATTTTGCTTCTCTTTTTTTGATGATGGTGATGATAATCAAAGCAGTATCATTTTATTAACACTGTTTTATATTTAACACAATAGAAATGGAATAAAAATATGTGCTGAATGGATTTTATTTATTCTGTGGGTGCAATTTGAGGGAAGTTAACCAGATGATCCTCATTTGCAGGTTAATAATGGGAATGAAATACAAATTTCAGTGGGGAACAAAACACTTGCATAAAATATCTACATTTTGATATATTTCCTATTTAGCAGTCACTTCTTAGAAAATTAAACTAAATAAATCCCCCCTCATCGACACACTACAGTGATTTTGGAAAACACAGTTTTTGTGGTTTATAAATTTCATGAAGGAACAAAACAGTGAAAGAAAATTTTGGTCATGCTCCAAGAAAATGTTTCCCTTCTTCCTTCTACATTTTATTAACCTGCAGTCTAATGCAATTCCTCCATATTTCATTTTGTTGTTGTTCAATTGCTAAGTTGTTGTCCTACTCTTTGTGACCTTTGTGTACTCCATGGACCACAGCATGAGATGTGGATTTTTTCCTCAGACAAACATGTGCCATAGATTAGGCTGGATTCTTCCTGGTGCATCTGCTTCCTTCCAAATGCTAAAGAAAATGGAGTCTGGCTTCCCAGCATGCATTTGTTTTGGGAGTAAGGGCTGATGGGTAAAAATCCAAACAATACAGATTGGTATTTGCCCCCTAGCCACTAGATGGGTCTAAAGAACAAAAACAGTATATACACATATTATATGCTGGGGCCTGACAAATTTCTTGAGAAATTAAGTTCTCTTGAGGCCATTCTCAGTGAGTTTTCAAAGGAGCAACAAAGAAAATGATTACAATTTCAGAATATTAGAACTACAGAAACTAGTCCTCAGACTTGTATCATCTCCATGATCACATGATCAAAATTACTAACAAGGGGCAAAGCATCAGTGGAATTAAGAATTTCTATGTCTTCAATATACATAGAAAATTAGCAGTACCTGCTCAGCCAACAATCTTAGTGGCTGCAGAATTGTTCATTGCAATGTGAGGATTCCAATGTGAATTCAGATCTCCTCGTACAAAAATAGCTAGGCAAATGATTGAAGTCTTGAAAATGGGCCCCTTGTCGGTCAACAGGAGTGCGTATCAGATATTTAGGAGCTGAGGGCTTGGCAGCACAGAGAAAAAACAGCCAACAACTTAATAGCTGGCCATCAACAACTAACAGGCCATCTATATTAACAACATCTATAGATTATGCAAAAGAGACAGTCAATAAGCTCACAAGAAAAACAGACTCCAGCACCTCTCCACCAGTAATCAGTCCTCAGATCAGCAAAGATTAACTCCAAGGTCAACTTCAGACCATCAGTCAAGGAAGCAACACCCCAATCAAGAAACTGCCACAGAGCAATCAGTAAATAGCCCAATCAAAGAATCCCTAAGACTGCCCCCACCCACACAGACAGGCAAGACACCAGAATATAAACAGACAGCAAACAACACTCTTTACTAGCATTGATAGTGAAATGTCTGCAAGATAACAAGCTCAGAGATCACCAAGGACCCCTCAACTAAAAAGCCACACACAACCAGGCATCACATAAATACCGTATTTTCTGGCGTATAAGGCGACCCAGCATATAAGATGACCCCCAACTTTGGTGCCGATTTCTATGCCTAGAAAGTCATCTTATATGCTGGAAACTACCGTAATTTCCGGCATATAAGATGACTCGGTGTATAAGATGACCCCCAACTTCAGCGCTGATTTCCGCACTTTAGAAAGTCATCTTATACAACAGAAAATACAGTACTATGCATAGAATAACCCAAAGCACACATTCTGGTAGGCACAAGTTCCCAAGGATGGGCTCCATCACAAATCCAGAAATTTGAAAGACTAAACCTCTGGTCCCAGTGACCAATCCAGACTGGATTCTAGACCTTTATTGCTTTTAGTGATTATCTATTTCAGCTTTTGGGAAAGAAGGATCCTCATTAGTTAGCCACAGTGGAAGAAGACAGTTTTATTTGTCCCCTTCCTTTAATATCATAAGCCACTAAAATTGAAATAAGTAAACAGCACATAAAAGATGTAAACAATTGAATAATTGAAATTTACCATAATTGAATTATTGTAACATTTAAGCATTTCAATTTGCCAGAGAAAATGAAAGTTGCTGTGGAGGAACTTGGATACTCAGATTCTTGAAGGACCAAATGTATTTTGACACCAAGGGAAAACTATTTTTTTATTTTAATTTTTAATAATCTCAAGGAAATTGTTGAATAATGTGTCAATATCATGGCTGCAACCACAGATATTACTTCAGTCTTGGTCAGACATCATATTATAAAGCCTTATCATTGATGACATCGTGTAAGGGGTTCTATAGAACTTCCCCTCACCATCCATTCCAAAATAACTTTGCAATTCTAATTGTCTTCAATATCAACACATATTTCTCAGGCCTGCACATATTCTGTATGCCTCAGCTTAATCCCAAATTCTTCAGTTCTTTTTAATCCTTTTCTCATTACCAGGCTAGGTAACATCTTCAGCAGAGTTTAGGGAATGTCAGTGTTAGTGCTCCTCTGTTTATAAGGGCTTCAGGTGTGGACAAGTAAGGGTCTTGTGTCAAGTAAGGGTCTTGTGATAGGTCATGTGTGAGTCATCAGAGAGAGGGTTGTGATGGATCTTGTGATGGGGAGGTTACACCAGATCAAGGTCATTGGGAGGTGAACTGCTGGTGGGACAGGGAGAGGGGCTGGCATAGGTTGGTTGAGGGTTGGTGCTGTCTCTGGTTGGCTATGCAGTTGATTTGGATTCTGAGGGATCTTTTCTGAGGTAGTCTTTTTAGAAACTGTTGTTGTATATTCATTCCATTAAGTCTCTCTCTCTCTCTCTCTCTCTCTCTCTCTCTCTCTCTCTCTCTCTCTCTCTCTCTCTCTCTCTCTCTCTGTCTCTCTCTCTCTCTCCCCTCCCCAGATATACAAGTGAAGGGAAAATCTAATGCTCTGTTTTACTTCTTATAAAGAGTGGTGCCTATTAAAAACAATCATTTAGAATTACATGTATGAAGAGCAGGACTTTACTTCAGTCTTTTGTCTCCTAATTTATGAATCCAAATTCCTATTTCTGAAGCAACGTGAACAGCTGCTGTGAAGAAAGGAAGATTTATGTGCACTTCCTTTCACTGTGCCTGAACAGTAATAGACTGCTGTGTCTTCAGATTTGAGGTTGTTCATTTGCAGATACAGCTGGCCTTTGACATTGTCTCTGGAGACAGTGAAGCGTCCCTTCACTTTGTCTGAATAGTAAATACTAGCTGAACTTGGTTGTATATAAGAAATCCATTCCAATCCTTTCTCTGAAGCCTGTCTCACCCAAACCATCCACTTGCTGCTGAAGGTGAATCCAGAGCCTTGGCAGGACAGATGGAGGGACTGTCCAGGCCTTCTCATGTTCCCTCCAGACTCCACCAACTGGGCTTCAGATTGGACACCTGGAAAGAATAGGATAGGATAGGATGAGATGGGATGGGATGGGATGGGACGGAATAGAATAGAGTAGAGTAGAGTAGAGTAGAGTAGAGTAGAGTAGAGTAGAACAGAACAGAACAGAACAGAATAGAATAGAATAGAATAGAATAGAATAGAATAGAATAGCTTTATTGGCTAAGTGTGATTAGACACACAAGGAATTTGTCTCCGGTGCAGAAGCTGTTGATGTACATGCAAAGCAACAGAGTAATAATAATCATAATAATGATACCAATAAGAGGGGATAGTAGAGAACATAACAAGTATAATAATAATGTTACAGCCATACAACATGGGTTAACCGAGAATTAGGCATTTAGCAGACTGATGGCACTTGAGAGAAAAACTGCCTCTGGGTCTAGTTATTTTGGCATACAATGCCCTATAACAGCATCCTGAGGGGAGGAATTGAGACAACTTATGTCCAGGATGTGAGGAGTTTGTAGATATTTTCTCAGCCCTATTTCTGATCCATGCAATATACAGATCCTCAGTGGAAGGCAGGCTGGTTGCAACTATTTTTTCTGCAGTCCTAACTATACGTCAGACTGTTTAGTTGCTGTACCAAACCGGATAGTTATAGAAGCAACAATGACAGACTCAATAATTCCTCTGTAGAACTGTATCAACAGCTCCTGGGGCAAATAGGTTGTATAAGCATAACTGCAACCAGAAAAGAAGAATCCTTTTTTTGCATGAGAAAATTTACCTCTGTGAATTGTGAGCAAGAATGCCAAGCTTAGCCAAAAAGCCATCTTTGATCAGTCAGAGGAGAATTCTGTGAAATGCATTCAAACCTCCATAAACTCTAAAGGTTTCTGCATTTAGCCCGTAGAGAAAGCTGCTTCACTTAAAAAGGAAACTGTATCAGAATTTACATATCTCTACTAATAAAAGGACTTCTCAGTTCTTATTCTCCACATTTCTTTGATTGTAGATCAAAGAAATCATTGATCAAAGAGGTAACTCAATTCAATTATATTACTTTAACTACTAGGAATTGTTTAGTGGTTATTGATTATTTTTCTTTACTTTTTTGTTTTTTTAAAAAATGTTGTATTGCTTTTATTTTCTTAAACACTCTTCATAACAGTATGGACTGTTTAAAGGAATGCAGAAAAACAGATAGAATTTCCATAAAATGCCTATCAAAAATGAAATATAACATCTCAATACTGAATGGAAATGGGTTCAAACTCAATTCCATTATCCAGAAATTGAATAAACCAAATACTGTTGGTACAGCCCCATGATGGATTAAACAATGCTCAATAACACTGACTGGGATATTGAGATATTTTTTTAAAAAAATAATTATTCTAAACACGGCTTTACTTTACCATAATCTATTGGAAATGGATAGAAACATTTTTCTAATATTAAGGAATGGGTGGTAAGTGTGCTGGTAATCTATTTTTGAAATGTTTTCATGTTCTAAAAAGGCTTAATATTTTATCAACAACATATTGTCTGGGTTTCCAACATTTAACTTACCAATACATGTTAAATTCATTTCTCTCTATCTCATTTTTCTAGCCATTGGTAAAACATATCCCATATTCTAAAATATACTGAATCTTCTTTCTCTTTCATTTTCATTCATTTCAATGGAAATGAGTTGGAGAAAAAATATCATTTTTCTTTCTCAGTGGAGAAGTTCCAGGCACACTGACTATTGCTCACCAGCCACAGATGAGAATCATGGGAGATGGTGTCATATAAAGAGGGAAGGTTAGGCCTGTATTTACATAAACTTCAGGATAAAAGAGAAACAGATTTGATTGATAATACCACCAAGAGTTTTTGAAATACCTGAAGGGCTGTATGAAGGTTAAGTTCACAAGATTAAAAATCACACATACATGTGCCTAACATCTTATAGTTGTCTTTTTCTAAGAGATAGTTTTTTTTTTTTAAAAAAAAAAAAAACACAACTCAGAATTAATTGGATGAAAGTGTAGCCATAATGGATGACTTGTAAAACCCAGAAATTTGTTAAATTATATATGGTTATATTTTTTTACAGTGATCTATGGTCTTACCTTCTCATTTTGGTTTTCTTTTTGTAAAATAAATAATATCATGGTATAATATGTCATGTGTTGTTTTTCATCTGAGGTTGTTTTTACCTACTTTTAAGAAAAGCTAAGGACCAGATTATTTTTACCATGTCCTGACACATAAAATCATAGACCTCAAAGAGGGTGTGCTCACTTGAAAGATAAGAAGGACAAGTATAGAAAGTGGAAAGAGGGACACATAACTAAGTCAGAATATCAGCAAATAGTGCGAGCCTGCAAAGATGAAGTGAGGAAAGCTAAGGCTCAGAATGAACTAAGGCTTGCGACCAAAGTCAAAAATAACACAAAAAAAAAAAACTTATTTCAACATGTAAAAAACAAGAAAAAAAAAAAGAAAATTATTGGTCCATTAGTGGGTAAAAGTGGCAAGAAGGTGACAAGCAACAGGGAGAAAGCAGAACTATTTAATTTGTTTTTCGCACCTGTCTTTACAAAAAGGGAAAAAGCAGACCCATCTATCAAAAATAGTGCCATAAAAAACAGAATAGAAATATGTTAAGATAGACAAAACCTGTCCAACTATTAGAGTCATGTAAGCAGTGTGTAAAAATGACAAAGGGAGAAGGAAAAAAATATACACTGACTCCAAGTATGTTTATGAAGTCTTGAATACTGGTGGAAGAAGAAAAGAAAAGTTATGCTAGAGTGGCAGAAGGGAAGGAAGGAATTGGTAATAGAAGAAAGAAACAGGAAAGTTGTTTTAAGTTGGTTTGCACAGACTTGTGAATTGCATGCATTAAGCAGGGAGACTGCCATTAAAGTGGTCAGCCCAAACGTGTGAATTGTATGCCTTAACACAAGCCTTAGAATGTTGAAGGAATAAGAATGTACTAAAGATGGGAGGTGGATGTTGCAAGATGGGAGAGGGATGTTGAAAAGAAAAAAGAAAAAAACAACAATAATGGCTAGAACACAGAAGCAGCCACTGAAGGGGGGGGTCACAAGGGATGATTAATATTTTCTACAACAGGATGGTTGTATTTATACTTTAGTTAAACAAATATGTGATAAAATTAAAAAAAAAAAGCTTTACAACATTTAGTGGTGAGGCCATGTCAATATGGGCCTCAACTGGAAAGTTGTTTTTGTTTCTTTGAAATGGGAGGTTTTTGTTACATGAAGGTTCAAGAATGTCAATGAAGAAGAGAAAAAAGTTACTCAGTATTTGCATAATGTGGTGCAGGTTTTGTCTTCTATCTCAGTACAGGCCCAGGCTGCCTTACCACCTGTCTCTGGCCATTGTTCCTGGAGAGTGGATTCAGGTGAAAAGAACTGTCACCTAGAAATACCAGTCCTGAGTGGTCTCAACCATGCCAAGTCCTCCTGATTTAAGGAATCAAGGCATGAGTCCATGGAAAGTCCCATCATATCCTCTCCAGTGAAAAATTCCTCAGCTGGACGGCCTGAAAATGAAATTTCAACCTGTCTCACCTGTTGAATTGTTTCCATCTAAGTGGGAGAAAAACTTCAATGGATTGGACGTGTTCCTAGAACCTGGACTATGTGTTGAAAAGTTTTTCTTCTGCTGCTGTTGTTTCCTTAGTACTTTCATTGGTAGAAGGAAAGACCATGGGCCCAATATTTTAAGGAACATTGGGGAAAGAAGACTCAGAATATGAAAACTTGCTTGCACAGGAATCTAAAGAAAATATAGGAAGTTATGAACTGTTAAAAGTATAAAAGAATAAATTCAGGTGGAAGAGAAAAAGGGAGGATTGAAGGAAATAAAAGTTAAGGAAATAAAAGTTATTCTTTTATAAAATTATAGAAAAATAATTGTAGAAATGTAATGCCAATATATGAAACTGTCTCTTTAGTACAAATGTAATGCTGTAACACAAATGTAACAATGCAATGCCAATATATGACCAAACGTTTACTATATCCTGCCTAAAAATCTCCCGGACACAGGAACTTACTTGAGTAGAAATCCTACTATCAAAGAGGGGGATTTTGACCCAAGGTGAGAATTACAAATAAACAAGATAACAGCAGATGGACGGAAGAGGTCAGGTTAACAAAGTACAACTTCAGAGTACATCTATAAAGATGAAAGAGCTGTTTAGATGTGACATGCATTGTAGGGGGTATAAAATGCAGATCTTGAGACCAGGCCAGTGTGCTCCTGGAATCCAATCCATAGGGAAGGATCCAGGGGGCCGTGTTTGCAAACGCTCCTCTCTTCTATTCTTTTTCTTTTCTCTTTTATTCTGTTTATGTTATTCTCCAGTAAACCTTTGTTTTGTTAAAAAAAAGATAGACAAGAAAATGATAAGTGAGCACCTGTCCAGCCTAGATCAGTTCAAAGCACCAGGACCAGATGGATTACATCCCAAGGTTCTCAAGGAACTGGCAGACGTGATCTAGAACCACTGAACTATATTTTTCAAAGATCCTGGACCACTGGGGAACTACCAAAGGACTGAAAAAAAGCTGATGTAGTTCCCATCTTCAAAAAAGGGAAAAAAATGGATCCAGGAAATTACAGACCTATCAGCCTGACCTCAATACCTGGGAAAATTCTGGAAAAAATAATCAAACAATGAATCAGCAAACAGCTACAGGCAAACCAACTCATTACTAAAAGTCAACACGGGTTTGTCGAAAAGAGATCATGCCAGAGAAACCTTATTGCATTCTTTGACTAAATGACAAAATTAGTGGACCAGAGGAATGCTGTGGATACAATTTACTTGGACTTCAGTAAGGCATTTGACAAAGTAGATCACAACCTACTACTTGATAAGATAAGATGCGGGTTAGACTGCATCACCACCAGATGGATCCATAGCTGGCTGACCAACCGTACTCAGCATGTGGTCCTCAATGCAACCACATCTATATGGAGGGAAGTGTGTAGTGGGGTGCCCCAGGGCTCTGTTCTGGGCCCAGTACTCTTCAACATCTTCATCAATGATTTGGACAAGGGGATAGATAGGGAACTCATCAAATTTGCAAGTGACACCAAGCTGGCAGGAATAGCCAAGACTCCAGAAGACAGGCTTAGGATACAGGAGGATCTGGACAGATTTGAACACTGGGCACTATCTAACAAAATGAAATTCAATGGTGAAAAAAGTAAGGTTCTACATTTAGGCAAGAAAAACCAAATGCACAGGTACAGTATAGGGGGCACCTTGCTCAATAGTAGTGAGAGGGATCTCGGCGCCCTAGTGGACAATCATTTAAATATGAGCCAGCAGTGTGCTGCAGCTGCCAAAAAGCCAACACAGTGCTAGGCTCCATTAACAGAGGGATAGAATCAAGATCACATGAAGTATTAATACCACTTTAGAATGCCTTGGTAAGACCACACTTGGAATACTGCATCCAGTTTTGGTCACCACGATATAAAAAAGATGTTGAGACTCTAGAAAGAGTACAGAGAAGAGCAACAAAGATGATTAGGGGACTGGAGGTTAAAACTTATAAGGAAAGGTTGATGGAATTGGGTATATCTAGCTTAATGAAGAGAAGGATGAGGGGGGACATAATAGCAATGTTCCAATATCTCAGGGGCTGCCAAAAAGAAGAGGGAGTCAAGCTATTCTCCAAGGCGCCTGAAGGCAGGACAAGATGCAATGGATGGAAACTGATTAAGGCGAGAAGCAACCTAGAACTAAAGAGGAACTTCCTGACAGTTAGAACAATTAACCAATGGAACAACCTGCCTCCAGAAGCGGTGAATGCTCCAACACTGGAAATTTTTAAGAAGAAACTGGACAGCCATTTGTCTGAAATGGTATGGGGTTTCCTGCCTGAGCAGGGGGTTGGACTAGATGACCTCCAAGGTCCCTTCCAACATTATAATTATTATTACTACTTTTTCATATAACTTTATATTGAGGACTAAATGTAATAATTGCATCTTTAGCTACCTGTGGCCATAATAGCTTTCATGGGAAACCATAGTTGGAAAAGATATTATTTGTCAGCCCTATGTATGAGGGTTGCCAGGAAATTATTAAGAATGTTTTTTATCAAGATTAGCTGTAATGAAACAAGCTTGTAAACTTTTTTGTGCTTGATGTCTTCCTCCTTATTAGAGTCTGTGATTAGAGTGGCTTCTGTAATGATCCAATTGTCAAGCGCCAGGGAAATCAGAAGACTCAGACAGTTCAAATGAGTATAAAGATTTATAGCAAGCTTAAGCTCTCCACAAGAATCTGACCAACTAACAGTCAAGGGAAATGAGTGGGAGATAAGAAAGGCATTCAAGATGGCCTAGACCAGGGGTGTCAAACTGCCGGCCCATGGGCCGGACGCGTCACCAGGAAACCATGCCCACCCTATTGCTGGCAATGGGAAAAAAGCTCTGATACATCGTGTAACATCACATGAAGTCGTGAGTTTGACATGTCTAGCCTAGACTTGAATCTTTTGCAAGCAAGCAGGGACTCATAACTTATGATGCATTTGACCCCTCCTTTGGGTTCATCCTATACTAATTTCCAAACATTACCTGGCCTTTTTGGACTTTAAGAAATACTCTGAGTCAGGACCCCAGGCTTGCCATGGGCCGGGAGATGGGAAGCACACAGCCAGCAGCCGACTGATGCCCGTCGGGTCCCACGAACTGCCCGGCTCGTGACAATCAGCTGGGAGTCAGGTCAGCGTCAGATGGTCGGCAGGGAACCGGCAAGGCGGCGAGGAACGGCCCGGCTCCTGACTTTCAGCTGAGAGCTGGGTCAGCGCGTGCCTGCCAGCTGGGAGGCAGTGGACGAGGCAGGCGCCGCCCATCACCCGAACATCAGCCCGGCTCCTCAGACTCAGCTGGGAGGCGGCTTGGCTCCTTGCTGGCAGCAGGGAGCCAGCATGGCCACCAGACACCGCGGGTGCCTTCCTCCAAGGAGCTGGACATCAGAGACACTCCTCCTGCCAGCTGGACCTTGGGACTGGGCAAGCATGACGAGGAGGGAATTGTTCCTTATCTTGGCTGCCTCTCCCTTCCTCCAGGAGCAGGAGGGGGAAGGCAGAGCGCTGCCTGGTTGTCAGAGCACATGGCTGGGGCAGCAGAGGCTGTGTGGATGTATCTGGAGAGGGGAAACACAGGTGGGGCATTGCACCTAATATCCATACGTACTGAATGCTGGCTTGCTAAGTGGGGTGGGGTTGGTGGGTGGAGCACATCTATGTAAAGCACTGGGAGCAGTTCACTCCCAGTGCTGACTTTTTTCTTTTGCATTAAAGTTTGCTGGTCACCTGTTCCTTCTGTGTCTGAATTTCATCAGTAGCTAGCAGAGGACAGCTGACAGTAAGTCAGCACTCCCTTTGTTTTCCTGTTCCCCTCTTATTGCCTGTTGTCGTGGACTTTGACAAGATGGCTGAGGGTACACAGGAGGTTCCTACTGAGACAGTCGAGGCCGCTCCAGCTGGTGAAACAGGGCCTGAGCCTGAAGCCCATGATGTGCAGCCAGTAGTCAGGCCCAAAATGGTGGCACCGAGGCCTGCAGCCCCTGCGAGTGAGAACCAGGGCCATGTGTTTTCTGAAGCATCTGGGGAATAGTGGCACAGCCCAGCATTGGCCAATGTGGAGCCTGAGTGGGTGACAACACCAGGTCCTAGGTCCTCTTTGATGGACTGGCGGGAAAGACGGCTGACGGGAGATGACGAGGATGAGTGGAGCTATTCCACCACTCCTGGTCAAGATACTAATTACGTGTTGAGGGACCAGTTCAGGGAGGCAGGCTATCAGGATGCCCCCTCCTGGCCATGACGGATGGCCACAAGAGAGGAAGCCTCATGGCCTTGACCAGAGGCACCATGCAGACATCCTGACTTGGGACGGTAACATTTGGACAGCCTGTGGCTGCGACAACCTCCTGCTCCAGATGTCTCCATGGTAGGAGGGTCTTCTTTGGATGCACTGCAGGTCCAGGCTCAGTCTGCGTAGATGGATCGGTCAGCTCTTGGGTCATGGGGGTTGCCTGCTGGAAGGGGCTCCGGCCAGCAGGATGTGGGTTCCAGCATCCAAGGCCCACTGCCTGCAGCTGACACATTACGTGGCTCAGCCTACCCTATAGGACCCTGAGGTCAGGGACTGATGTGGGGTCCACCTCCCATACTGGTCATGTTTGACGGACATCCGGATTGCCTGGCAATGTTCCTAAGCCATGTGATCTGGATCAATATGCTCGGCTCTATCCATCTCAATGGGCCATGGTGGTGGCAGTGTCACCAGGACTGCAGGGTGAGGCAGTGGCATGGGCGGCGGACCTGTACAGCGATCATACCCGGGAGCTGGCTGACGCTGGGCTGTTCCTGGATGTGTTGCATGCCCACTTTGAAGACAGCTCCTGGGTTCAGCGCGCTGAGGCAGAGTTGCTGGCATTGAGGCAACGTGGTCATCATGCAACTGACTACATCCGTGACTTCTGCAGGGTAGCAGGAAGGCTGCGGTCCTGGCCTGAATGCTTACTTGTCCACCATTTCTGGGCAACTCTGGACTGAGAGCTGCACCAGGCTTGCGTGTTCCAGGGGGTTCCCAGTTGTCTCCAAGATTGGTTCCGGGTGGTTATAGATCTGGACATAGGTCTCCAGGATTTTCGGGGCAAGGCCGAGGAACCGCTCATACCAGGAAGATTGACAGCAAAGTTACAGGAGGAGGGGAGATGGGGTCCCTCTGCAGACGTGGTTCCCTCCGCCCCTTCCGTCAGGGCGCCATTCCACTTTTTCTGATGTAACCAGCCAGGCCACAGAGCAGAGGACTGTCCAGCCCCGAGTCCACAGGCTCCTTCCTTGGACCCTGGAAAGGCCACTCCAAGGGCTAACAGAACCCCTGACAGGTCAAGGGCGGCGCAGCAGCCGGAGGCAGTAACATCCCAGCGGTTGATCCCAAAGGAGGAGGAGGAGGCAACAGCAGCGACAAGGTATTGGCTGGTAGGTGACGACAGTGATGACAACATAGCCAATGATCCCATGGTAAGCGAGCCCATAATGCTCTTCGTTCTCCCTGTGACACTGACTAACCCGCAAACGGGCCAACAGAGAGGCTACCAAGCCCTCATTGATTCAGGGTGCACTCAGTGTTTAATAAGCAAAAGGGTGGTAGCAGAGAGTGGGATCAGAGTCCAGCAAGTAGCCCACCCCATTTGGTTCGAGCAAGTGGATGGGTTTTGCTGGGAGGGGTGCCAGCTAATCTTGTCACGGAACCCGTCCGGCTGGACAAGGGATCCCATTAGGAGGTTCTCCATTTCATAGTCGTCCCATCTATGGATTGAGGCAATGATTTTAGGTTTGGCATGGCTGGACAAATGGGGTCCTACGATATGGTGGGAAGGGGGTTACCGAAGGCTCCGTATCGGGGTGGGTCCTCAGGCCCCTACATGATTCTGGGGAAAAGAGGGCAGGGTATACGGACAAGAAGGCGAAGGCAGAGTTGACAGAATCCAGGGAAGATGTCCCCTTTCCGGAGGTATACAATGATCTTGCTGAGGTATTCAGTGAGCAGGAGTGCAACGTCCTGCCACCTCACCGCACTACTTATTGCGTGGTTGATATCCTGCCGGGAGCTAAGTTGCCCAAACCCAGGATGTACACCATGACACCCAGAGAGCTGGAGGACCTACGACGTTACATCGACCAGAACCTGGCCTGGGGATTCATTCAACCAGCTCAGTCACGAGTGGCCGCCCTGGTCTTATTAAACGAGAAAAAGGACTGTTCCCTACAGCTCTGTGTGGACTTCCGCGGGATTAATGCGGTGTGTGTGGAGCATCTATACCCACTCCCATTGATGAAAGACCTACTGGCCCATCTGGGTATGGGCCATGTGTTCTCAAAGCTGGACCTGTGTGAGGCTTACTACAGAGTCCGGATAAAGAGTGGAAATGAGTGGAAGATGGTGTTTAACTGCCCGCTCAGCAGTTACCAATTCCGTGTGATGCCTTTTGGCCCGAAAGGGGCCCCCGTGGTGTTTATGCAACTCATCAAGTGCACGAGCACTTGTACCGTGGGGTCCTTGTGTATTTGGACGATATCCTAATATATACGTCCACCTTGGAGGAACATGTCCACCTAGTCAGGTAGGTACTGAGGAAACTGTTGGATGCCCACCTCTTTGTGAAACTCTCCAAATGCTAGTTTCACTGGGCTCGGCTGGACTATCTGGGTTACAGGATATCAGGAGACGGCGTGGAGATGGACCCACACAAGGTGAGACCGGTGTTGTGGTGGCAGGCACCTCACACTTGTCGCCAGCTACAAAGTTTCTTGGGCCTTTTACCAACAATTTATTCCATCGTTTGCCACAGTAGCCCTTCCCCTAACTGACTTGTTATCTACGAAACACACAACGAGTAAGCCATAGCCCAGACAACCACTGGAGTGGACGATAGCTTGTCAGAAAGCATTCGAAGACCTGAAATCCCGGTTTGCCAAGGAACCAGTCCTACTCCATCCTGATCCTGAAAGCCCTTTCGTAGTCCAGGCAGATGCCAGTGATGTAGCTGTGGGGGCTGTGTTGTTGCAACGGAACAGCCAAGGCATGTTGCAGCCATGTGCATACACATCATGGAACTTTTCGGCTGCTGAGAGGGCTGGGCGATTTGGGAGAAGGAAGCCTTTGCGATGCAATGGGCTCTTTCAACGTGGAGGCATCTGCTGGAGGGGGCAACCAAGCCGTTTGAGGTATGGACTGACCACAAAAACCTTGAGGTTTTGCAGACGCTGAGATGCCTATCGCCTAAACATGTCTGGTGGGCCCAATACTTCCACAGGTTTCAGTTCACTCTGAAGTATGTGCCTGGAGGGAGGAACTTCCTGGCCGATGCATTGTCTTGCATGCCCCAATACCACAGCAGGTGGGAGGAGGTGGTACAGGTGATTATGCCACCCTACCAACAAGGGGTGGCTCGAGTGATTCCTCGCCAGTTGATGGGTGATCTAAACCAACAGCTACTAAAGGCCGTTCGGAGTGATCCCTGGTTGAAAGACCACCCCGGCCTCTTGACACAAAGGGACGGTTTAGCTTGGAAAGGCAATAAACTGTACCTACCAGAGTTACTGAGACACATGGTTCTCAAGCAGTGCCACGACGCCAAGCAAGTGGGACATTTCGGCTTCCTAAAAACATTACACCCCTTGCTGTGTACACCCCAGGAGCAGATGGCCTGAGTGGAAGGTTTGTGGGCTAAGGTTAAGGAAGCATTGGTAAAGGCAGGGGTGGAAACAAAGGCACAGGCTGATAAAAAAAGGGCTGAGCACAAACCCTTTCAGGTCGGTGATTGGGTATACCTATCGATCAAGTACCTACGTTTGAGGGTGCTCTGTAAGAAGTTGGGTCCTACGTACGTAGGGTCCTTCAAGGTACTTCAGGTCATAAACCCGGTAACCATACGGTTATGGCTGCCTCGGGCTTTCCGGAAGGTGCATCCTGTATTTCATGGGAGTTTGCTGAAGCCAGTAACAGGTTTTGCCAGGGGCCCGGTGGCCACCCCATCAGCCCGGTTTCCGGTGACCAGTTCAAGATACAAGAAATCCTGGATTCCTGGAGCCGCCATGGATGGGTCCAATACGTGTTGAGGTGGAAAGGGTACCCTCTGTCGGAAGCATCGTGGGTGCAGAGGGAGGATGTCCATGCCCCGTGACTGGTGCGGGCCTTCCATCACTAGCACCTCAGAAAACCGGGAGGAGGAGCCGTGGAAGGGGCCGATTGAATTGTCGCACGCTCACCTGTCTCTATTTGCCTTCCAGGAGGGGACCTGGTAGAGGGGGCTGCCTCTCAAGCCCCTGGGCTTGCCATGGGCCGGGAGATGGGGAGCACACAGCTAGCAGGGTGCCTCTCCCTTCCTCCAGGAGCAGGAGGGGGAAGGCAGAGTGCTGCCTGGTTGTCAGAGCAGATGGCTGGAGTGGCAGAGGCTGCTTGGGTGTGTCTAGAGAGGGGAAACATGGGTGGGGCATTGCACCTAATATCCATATGGACCAGATGCTTGCTTGCTAAGTGGGGTGGGGTTGGTGGGTGGAGCACATCTATGTAAAGCACTGGGAGCAGTTCACTCCCAGAGCTGACTTTTTTCTTTTGCATTAAAGTTTGCTGGTCACCTGTTCCTTCTGTGTCTGGATTTTATCAGTATCTAGCAGAGGACAGCTGACACCCTGACTCCTTTGGCCCAGACAAAACCTCTTGCATATTGTCATCAAGGTCATCTTCCTGACTCTGTGCATAAACCACATAAACCCATCTCCTCAATGTTTTTCATGTAAGACATGTATATCAATCAATTGGTGTATTCATGGCCAGCCCAATCCTTATTTATCTTTGAGGCATCTGTGCATTCTTCATAAGTGTCCACCTGTCTACCATTTAGAGCAGGAGAGAAGTGCAGAAGAAAATTCCCATAGGGTTGGGCAAAAAGCAAGTTGAGAAGTGAATCTTTATGTTTTTCCTATGAGGATTCATTCTACACATCCATTTTTGCCTAGGTGATCAATCTTGCATATTTCTGTTGGGTCACCTTGCTTATTCTTTGCACTAGTAGACTCCTTCAGTTTTACAGAATAACACAATTAAAAGGGACATTGGAGTCTTCTAATCAACTGCTTGCTCAAGCAGGAGACCCTATACTAGGGGTGTCAAACTGCTGGCCTGCAGGCGGATGCATCGTAGCGAAATCGCACCCACCCCATTGCCAGCAATGGCAAAAAAGTCATGATACGTCGCAACATGTCAGGTGATGTTGCAAGCTTGACACCCCTGCACTATACTTTTGTCCAATTTCTTCTCAAAAACCACTGATGATGGAGCACCCACAACTTCTGAAGGCAAGCCATTCCACCAATCAATTATTCTAACTGTCAGGAAATTTCTCTTTAGTTCTAGGTCGCTTCTCTCCTTGATTAGTTTCCATCCGTTGCTTCTTGTTCTGCCTTCTGGTGCTTTGGAGAAGAGCTTGGACCCCCCCCTTCTTTATAATAGCCAATATTGGAAAATTGCTATCATGTCATTTTTAGATCTTCTTTTTATTAAACTAGATATATCCAATTCCTACAACCATTCCTCATCTGATTTAGCCTCCAGTCTCCATATCATCTTTGTTGCTCTTCTCTGTACTCTTTCTGGAGTCTCAACATCTTTTTTTTTGTATTGTGGTGACCAAAACTGGATGCAATATTCCAAGTGTCCATTATAAACTGGCACAAACACTTCACATGATCTTGCATTAAGATCCTCTGTTAATGCAGCCTAGAACCACATTTGCTTTTTTGGTAGCTGTGGCACATAGATTTTTTTTATGATAGGACTAACATGGGTGTTCTCCTACATTATCTTCTACATAACAATTGTGCTTCAAAATTCTCATGGATTGACATTGTAGTCTCAATTATACTATTCCTCTATTCTTTTCCCTTTCTCACAGTTACATGCATTTCTTCGTGACATTTCATTCAACAATTCAGCTGGAGAGAACATGCATTTTAATGAAAAAGGAGAAATTGTTTCTGGTTTGGATATAATGCACACAAGGTTATTTTCAAACAACTCCTTCAAAAAAGTTAGAATTGGACAGGTAAAACCAACAGCTTTTGAAGGAAAACAATTCTTTATACATGATGAAATTATTGAGTGGCCTAAAACCTTTAACCAGGTATGGATTCTTAGATTTCTTTAACAGTTTTTCCCTCAGTAAAATTGGCCATCTTGGATAACAAATTTCCAATGCTGCAAAATTGGTCCATGCCAGTGTTGTAGTTCTAGTAAAAATTAAGTGTTGCCATTTTAGTAATGCAACATTTACTAGCAGTAATAATTTTAAATGATCATAACAGTGGAAAAGGAAAAACACAATTCTTAGCATTTTAAAAATAATGCAAATATTTTAATCACAGGAAATATGGATCAATCCTTAATTAAAAATAAATATATAATAATTTGTCACTAGAAAAAAATTGTAGGAAATACTATAGGACACTATGAAATGGGCTTTGCTATGAAAAACATGATGTGGACATTCTCCTGAGCTAAATAATTAAAATCCTAAAAGATACTATTTTCCTTAAAATATGCTTTTCCCATTTTCTTTTCAGGCAGTCAGCTGCCATTATTTTTATGCATGCTTGGTCATTTGTTTCCTGCCCTTCAGCTGATATATATTAAACCCACAAATCTAATTTTCTTAAATTTCCAAACAACTTAGACTCTTGATTTTTATGGACAGGTATGTCCTATTTCTGTGTGCAGTGATTCGTGCCAGCCAGGATTTCAGAAACAAAAGAAGGAAGGGGAACAATTTTGTTGCTATGATTGCTTACCATGTCCAAAAGGAAAGATCTCCAACAAGACAGGTAGATGACATGGAACCCACTATCATCTATCCTTAGAGACCTGTAAAGTGGTGCCATTCCACATGAGAGGATTGCCTTCATCCAGATCAGAGAAGTAACACAAATTGAGCTGGTATCAGAGTTTTGCAATAGGAAAAATTAATAAACATGAACTTATTATTGTTGACAATTTCTTGTGAATGTCAGAGTTTCTTTCTAATATAACTCATGCATAACAAAATCAGAGAAGTAATTGTTTTTTGTAGCATTTCTGGAATTGTCCTACATGCTCAGAATTAGTCTGGTATGACTTTCAAAATCAACTATGATGCTTCCTATCAGAGTTTCTCCCAGGTTTTATTTATGTACAACAAAATCAAAGAATAGTTATTTATAATTTCTTATACTTTCATGACATTTAATTTTCTTTTCTAAAATGGTTCCACATACATTTCCATTTTCTGACAGTCAGTCTGATATTCTATCACAATTGGTGAGTTGATATGGAAAATAAAGACTTACAACTTTGGTGTCATCATTTGGCTTCTGATCTAGTCAAGTTCTAATAGATACACTTATTTTTCTTGACAATTTTTCTCCCCTTTCTTTTCAGACACAGATGAATGTATTCAGTGCCGAGATGATCAGTATCAAAGCCAGAGCAATGACAGCTGTTTCCCCAAAATAATAACCTTTCTTTCCTATGAAGAACCATTAGGAATGGGTTTAGTCTCAATTGTCCTTTGTTTTTCACTGGTCACAGGCTTGGTGTTGATTACTTTTATTAAGCACAGTGATACAGCCATAGTCAAAGCCAATAACCGAGAACTCACCTATATTCTTCTTTCCTCTCTCCTGCTCTGCTTCCTCTGCTCTCTTTTATTCCTTGGCCATCCCCACAAAGTCACTTGCCTCATTCGTCATGTTGCTTTTGGTATCATCTTTACTGTGGCAGTTTCTTGTGTGTTGGCCAAAACCATCACTGTGGTTCTTGCTTTCATGGCCACTAAACCAGGATCCAATGTGAGGAGGTGGGTGGGAAAAAGTCTGGCCAACACCATTGTCCTTTCCTGCTCTCTCATTCAAGCTGGCATTTGTACTGCATGGCTGGCCATTGCTCCTCCGTACCCCAGGTTGGATATGAAATCTCTGCCAAACAAGATAATAGCAGAATGCAATGAAGGCTCTACCTTTATGTTTTACTTTGTATTGGGCTACATGGGACTTCTGTCCATCATCAGTTTCATAGTGGCTTTCTTATCTAGAAATTTACCGGATGCTTTCAATGAAGCCAAATTCATCACTTTTAGCATGCTCATGTTTTGCAGTGTTTGGCTGACTTTTATCCCAACTTATTTGAGTGCCAAAGGCAAATACGTGGTAGGTGTGGAGATCTTCTCCATTTTGGCCTCTGGGGCTGCACTGCTTGCCTGTATCTTTTTTCCAAAAGTTTATATTATCTGGTTGAGACCTGAGCTGAATAATAAGGAGGGATTAATAAGGACAAAGAATAAACCAGTGAAATTGAATACTCTTATATAATGTGTGGTAAAATGACAACATATTCACTTCTATGTGATTGACCCCAAGATGCTTTTCCAAGAGGCAACTGGATTTTTCCTTGAAAACATTTTGTGTCTTATCCAAGAAGCTTCTTCAATTCTTCAGATGATTGAGAATCTTCATAGATTTCTACGTGAATGATTTTTTTTCATAAATTTCTATATTATATTATTATAATTTAGTAGTATATTTTTAAGCTCTGGAACCAACATATCACTCTTCTGAGGCATTTGAAATGGTTTCAGAATAGTTTTAAATATTTTGAATAGCCTTATGAATACTGATTATTAAACAATGTTTTCCTCTCATGGCACATCAGTTTAGTGGCCATATATTTCTTCTAAATTAGTAAATAAAATAATAAATATATTAAAGCTGGACTGGTAAGAAAAGTTCCAATAGTTATTGTCTTATTGTTTTCTTAATGGGAAGCACAGCTGAATTTTATACAATTTCAAAATTGAAACCTATCACTTTAAACAAATATTTAACGTTTTTGATAAAGGGGGATTTTGTTGTCAATAATTTTGGTACACATATTAAAAGAAAGATTTAAAGTAGATAATAAAACTTTTGCAATGATATAGAAGAAACCAGAATTTGGACTGTGTAAAAATGATTAATGTGTCCTGGCTAAAATGGATCAGCTTTTATTACAATTTGAAACAGAAGAACAAGTGAAAGATTCTATGACAAAATGTACTCAAAACTTTGGACAAAATATACGGAGGAAAAAAATGGGAAAATATGTGGGTAAGGGGATAAAAAAGTTGTTAGGTTGCAGTTCAAAAGAGAATGTTTATAGGATTATGTACCCTCCATACATAACTCCCAAAAATGTTTGAATGTAAAATATATATATAAAGTTTATGTGGAAACAACGACTTGACTCCAGAAGTTGTGGGTGCTCCAACACTGGAGATTTTTAAGAAGAAACTGGACAGCCATTTGTCTGAGATGGTATAGGGTCTCCTACTTGAGCAGGGAGTTGGACTAGATGACCTCCAAAGTCCCTTCCAGCTCTGTTATTCTGTAACATGGACAACATGAAAAATCATTTTATCATGCCTGGCAGATTTATTAAAAAATGTCAAAAATTTCTGGATTCAAATATATAATTATACAAAGGATTTTAAAGATCAACTTACAATTGAAACTAGTTGGGAACCATGGAAGATTATTTTTGTATATGAATATTGCTGTAAACTATTGTATGTGCAAACACAGAAAGACTCTGAAATACCCACAATGATGGGTATTTGATTAGTGAAGATGATGAAATGATTAGTGAAGATGACCAAAAAAAGAAGTGCTGGCAAAGACTGGAGAAAGACAACAGCTAATTTCATTTATAAGTGACTGGTTTTGTTTGCTAGAATGCAGTGTTTGCCTTTTGCCAAATGTAAGGTGATACATTCAGGCCCAAAAGTTCTCTTTTGGTCTCATCCATGAAGAAACTATTCTTCCAATAGCTCTTATGCAACACCTATCTTACTATATAGCACAAATTTATTCCTCTTTCTACAGTATCTCCTTAATTCTGTTGGTGCATTGGGAAACTTTCTCTCTGTGATGATTCCGCCTTCATTCGTCCCTACATCCCACAATTCTGAATATACAAGGGTACAGGTGGCCTCACTCTTTTGTTTTCTCAATAAGCCATGACAATGATAGATAAGAACTTGAATACTGCATCCAGTATGGATCACCACAATGTGAAAAAGTTGTTAAGACTCTAGAAAGAGCAACAAAGATGGTTAGGGGACTGGAGGCTAAAACATATAAGGAAAGGATGCAGGAACTGGATATGTCTAGTTTAATGAAAAGAAGGACATAACAGTAGTGTTCCAATATTTAAGGGACTGCCACAAAGAAGAGGGGGTCAACTTATTTTCCCAAAAAACTGAAGGCAGGACAAGAAGCAAAGGATGCAAACCAATCAAGGAGAGAAAAAACCTAGAGCTAAGGAGAATCTTCCTGACAGTGAGAACAATTAACCAGTGAATGACTTGCCTCCAGAAGTTGTGGATGCTCCATCACTGGAGGGTTTTAAGAATAGATTCTGTTATTCTGAATTAGATTAACCTAACTTCATATTATTTAGATTAATATTTCTATTCTTAGTTGAAATTATTAAATCTAAATTTTGATCTATTTGAAGACATGTCCAGGAACGCATTCTAGTATTATTCCTGTTTGAAGAAAATCAAAGTTTCAAACTCAGTTCTCTTATTAGATATAAGACCAGAAAAAACTGTTCCAACTCATTGTGGGACATAAGGATCAGCAGAATATTGACTTAGCATTTCCCTTCAGGTTCAGAGTTGTTTACCTTGGTCCAACTGCACCCATGGGCTATGCTATTCTGTTCATATTTAATCAATGTGATCCTCTTGGAGCCCAACTCCGACTGGTGTCAAATTAGGGAGGCCATCAAGGACAACACACAAACAAAAAGAACATCTACTTACAATGTGTTATCCCTAATACACAGCAGAGTTAATTGTTTCTCTTATAATTGCTGCATACTTATAATTAGTTTCATTGATCAGACCTTCAACAATTATCCACAAGATAACAAGAGAGAAATCAATATGTGATGTGCAGTTGAGAAAGAGTTTATAATATACAAGTATTCTTCAACTGGTTTCATGGAAAAGAGGCAAGCCCAAACTGTGTCCATGTGAACATATCCAGTTCTCCACTGTTTTGGACAGAAATGGCTTCAGATCATTGAACTGCTTTGTGGAGTTTTTAAAATTTCTTTCTGTGTTGGTTGTGCCATGTAATATTGAGATAGGTTGCTGCTTTCTCTTTAAAACAGGTGACAAAGCTGAAATCAGATGCAGAAGACTCTTTTCTCCAGGAAAACACATCTGCAAGGATGGTGAAATTCATGGCACTGTTCCTTTTTCTATCCCTTGAAGAGTGCCAAAGAGTGACCACAAAGTGCCCTCAAACCCAATTCTTCACTGTTCCTCATGACTGGTATCAGCCAGGGACACTTCTCATTGGTGGGATGGCATCTCAAGTCATTTATTTATTTAATGAAGTTTCCTTCAAAAATATCCCTTCACAAGATATTGGCTTTGATCTTCCAATGTAAGACACTCAACCTTCCCTTCCTAAATCAAGTACTACTCAACTCCTAGAAATAGTCATGTATAGTAAATAAAAATGTAAAACATGTTATTTCTCCCATCCCTGTTACGGGGTATCTTGAGGTGGTCTTATTTCCATCAATGTCATTTTTTAGTCTGCTGACAGTCACCTACTACTTCGATATAAACTTTAGTCTCTTGCTATTATTCCTTCTTTGCTTTCTTGAAAAACATTAATTCAATGTTATCTTCATCTTGTTGCACATGCAGTATTTTGCTGAATTGCAGAGAAAGTGAGGAGCTTTGTTAAATTGGAGAAAGCAGTGTTCCATGGCTTGGAAGACTATATGAAACCTGGAAATAAGGATGAAAAAGAATGGAACAGAACAGAATAGACCAGAATTCTTTATTGGCTAAGTATGATTGAATGCACAAGGAATTTGTCTCCTGTGCATAATTTTCCTCTCAATGTACAAGCAAGCCACAAGTGTTAAGCTTGAGTAGCAGGAACTTAATTAGTTTAGACTGACTAGCAACCAGACTAACTATTTCATGCTTTTCTCTATGAAGAAATTAACAAGTTATTCTATTCTATTCTATTCTATTCTATTCTATTCTATTCTATTCTATTCTATTCTATTCTATTCTATTCTATTCTATTCTAATCTGGATAAAGAGAGAAAGGGAGAGAAGGAGAATATTAAAAATTGTGATAAAGGCACATTTTTCTTTTAGAACTGTTTCCTATAGCTTAATAATAATAGGGCATGATTTAGTTTTTGGAAAGTCATTGACTACAGGATTAGAAAATCTTTTCCCTGAGAATTGCTCATTTGGTTTGTGTGTTCAGGAAAGACTTTCAATATCACATGTATTGTGGTTGGAGGTATTTCACTGATTTCTAAATATTGATTCCTATTCAGTTGAATTTCATAATGCATATATTGAAACCACTCTCACTTTATCTGCTCCCCTCTTTTCCATCCATTAAGATGGAAACTAATCAAGGAGAAAACTTACTTAGAACTAAGGAGAAATTTCCTGACACTTAGAACCATTAATCAGTAGAATGACTTTCCTCCAGAAGTTGTGGATTCTCCAATACTGGAGGTTTTTAAGAAGACACTGGACAGCCATTTGTCTGGGATGCTATAGGGTTTTCTGTCTGAGCAGGGGGCTGGACTAAAAGACCTCCAAAGTCCCTTACAACTCTATTATTCTGTTAGCCTGAACTTTAATTCATCTAAATAATTCTGATCACATTGTATCAGCCCAAGAGTTGTGCTGGTCAAGATGATTAATTTCATATGTAAAAAGCCTTGTAACTCTATTTGCAGGATGCTGACCAAGTTCTACCAGAATTGTTTGGCTTTGGCATTTGCTGTAAATACAATCAATAAGTCGCCAACAATTTTGCCAAACATCACAGTGGGATTCCACATCTATGACACCTACTATGATCAGAGGATGACCTATTACAATCTTCTCAATTTGCTCTTTAAATTATTTTCTAATTATGCATGTGGACTCCCTAAAAACTTAATTGCTGTTGTGGGATGTCTTGCATCTGACACCTCTTTTCACATGGCAGATGTTTTAGGACTCTACAAGATTCCACAGGTGAGGATGATGCATATCTGCAGGGACCAGCTTTTGCTACTTTTATTAATGTTATATTCATCACACGGGTGGTTTTGAAATATAAAAGAGAAGCTAGAAAATGAAAGAAATTAAGCTTAGACAATTTGAGAAGTAAGGACTCCTGGGAGGATTAGAGAGGTTCAGAATCCTTCTTTCTAATTCAAGTTGTTCATATTTCTGCATCTCTGTTAAATAGGTAAAGGCAAAATTTTTAATTTTAGCAAAGGGAAATTGAAA